TGCCTTACTAGTAGTAACAGGTGCCTTACTAGTAGTAACAAGAAGCTATTACATTGTTGTCCTGGAAAGAGAACGTGTGTTTCACCCGATGCGTTGAGGCCATTGTGTCGCTTTCGTCACTGAGGTCCTCGCCATGCCGATTGGCGTTGTGGGCGCCAATTTCAGCCGAGAGTGCGCCACAGAAGACACTGCCACAAAGAAGGCATCCCTTTGATTTAGCTTGTCCCGCTTTGAACACCTGAAAAGACAGAGCGCACGTGGGCCCCATGTAGATTCAACAGATTTGATGTCGTTTCTTTAAGATACAGAGATGTGTAGTACTTTCAAGAGCAACTGTAATTTCATTTGTTCGCCTGCACTCATAGGTACTATAGAATCATGGATGAAAGGAAGCGAAGGGAGATGCTAAAGCATCAGATGGACACATTGGCAGCTGTGGAGGCGATTCTTTTGACGCGTCTCACATAGTTGATTCATGTACAGTCCAGCTGCATATTTCCAGAGTGGAGGATTCTCCATGCCTGAGCAGTCACTTACACCTGTGGGTCGTGCTGTCAGGCAACCCTGCAGGGGACGTGTAACAGATGGATACGATGTTGTTTGAACGAAACCACTCTTGTGCTTGAGCTGTACTGATGCTCATGTTATAGATTTTCCATCACACTGCAAGTGTGCTGTTTGCATTGGCCTTGGTGGAGGCTGAACAAGATGCACTCTTGGAACATCACCCTGCACCGGAAGAAGGCTGGGTTTTTGATGTTATGCTGTTAGGTTGATTTTGCTATTAGGTTGGAGGCCATTGCTACTAGGTTGGAGGCCATCGCTGTTAGGTTCCTTTTGCAGTATCCTGCTTGTCTTGCACTTGAGCGCATGCACGCGCACACACACACAGACACACACAAGCAGACAATTGAATGAGGGTTTGTCTGGCTGAAGGCCAGCTGTGCCGAGAGCCCTTTGACTTGTTCAAGTTATTTGCCAAAGTGTAGGCAACTGCGAACAATGGCTCTGTGAAAACTAGTGACAAGGCTCTAATTTTCAATGCCGATCTGTAGAGTGCAATGTACCTACGAAGAGTTTTTGAGGAATTATTTCCCGATCCTAGAACTGTTTTTCGGGCTTCAAGAAATGGAGATATTTTCTCTCAGGGTCGATGCCTTCCCCTGTCATGGTCTTATGCATAATCACCACCAATACCACCACCAATACCACCACCAACCACCATCAACCTCCACCGCCACCACCGCAACAACAAGAAGAATAAGCCGTTTCTTTGTACACTTTTTTGTGCCAACAAAGCTGAAGGAATTGTTGGTGTGCACAATTTGAGATTTGAAGGACTGGGCAGCCTGCGGCTCAACGCCCTTGCAGGAATTTTCTTTTTTCATTTCATTTTGGAGCCAATGGCGACATCCTGGAATGATCTGATCAGTTCAACGGAGACGGTGAAGCCGGCAGACGATGTGCTGAAGGAGGCAGTGCAGTTCCTGGTTGATGTTGCCAAGCTCCCAAATCCGAATGCAGCCAGCGGTGTCGCTGAAGCAGATTCGGACAAACTTCAACTACCAGCTTCTTTGCCAGCCTCAGCGTTGATTCGCCGCTTGGTTAGAAGTGTTGAAGCTTTGGACAAAGCTCGACTTGCGCAGGCGACTGCAAAGTCGGCTTTGGCGTCCACTCCTGTTTCTGCAAAGTTGCTGGCGTCCGCTTTGGCTCCATCCAAAGTGCCGGATGTAGCGGACCTACTGCAGCAGTGTGGTCTTAGCAAACTTGGCTTTCATGTGCAGGCGGATCAGTCCTTGTACACCACTTTGCAGGTAGCCTCAGAGGAAGCAAAGGCTCAGAGCCGCGTGCCCTTCACTTACGTGGATCTGACCAGCAAAGAGGTTCTTCCATTGTGGTTGCCAGCAGACTCTGTTGGTGGTAAGTTCACTTTGCGAGATGAAGAAGAGTCCAAGCTTGTAGGCCATCACTCCATAGGGTCGTTGAGTGATTTGTCAAAGGCCCTCAAAGGGGCCACTGCAACCCCCAGATTCTTTCGCAATGTCCAGCAGTGGGTCGCTGCATTTGTCAGGTATGCAACTACGGCGGTGGCAACTGGACAGATGACTTGGCCAGTTGTGTTTGGTCACCTGGATGTGATTCTCCAAATCTGCGAGCAAGAGAAGATCAAAGGTCGTGCTCCTTATCTGGCTTTTCTTTATGATGATCTGCTGCGCCGTCAGTGGGCCCGTCGGGCAGACAAACGTGATCCATCCCTGGACATTGCCATGGAGTCGCAGAAAATTGACAAGGACATCCTCGAATTGGCAAGACAAAGGTTGAGCCAAGTTTTGCAAGAGGTGGGCATACAAGACGATGTTTCGCAACAAATGCCATCCGCCGCAACATCATCCACAACCTCTTCCAGTGCGGATGTGGCACGGCAACTTGCGGCTGCTGAGCAAGCTCAGAAGCGAGCTGATGCTGCCAGTAAGAAGTTGAGTGAGGTTCAGGCTCAGCTCTTGGCAAAATCTTCTGCGGCAGCAAGCCAGGATGGTGGCGTAAGCAAGCGCCAGCTAAAGACCCAAAATTGGTTCTCCAAGCAGAATCAAAGGCGGCAGCAGCAGCAGGACAAACGTAAACAACGCTGACCACAAAGTGATGTCGTTCCTGGAGACACTGAGGGGTGTGCGCTGGGGCTGCAATCATTGTCTGGTGCTCTCCAACTGCTTCCTGCGTGCTCTTGGCTGGCTGGTTCATTA